TGGGCTGCTGCCCAGGCCCTGCCCAGCCCTCTGCAGCCAGCACAGATCAGACTGGGGGGCCCCGGCCCAGCCCTCCGCAGCCAGCTCAGACTGGGGGGCCCCCGGCCCAGCCCTCCGCAGCCAGCTCAGACTGGGGGATTCCGGGTGCTGCTCCCCATTGGCTGTGGCTTTGGGGGGCAGTGACAAAGGTTGCTCTCACCTCAGAAGGTGGCTCGTCCCAGCAGGCGAAGGCGGGGGGGCCGGGCTATCTGGCTCTCGGTAGGATGCTCCCTCAGGGCAGGTAGGGAGAGCGGGCCTAAGCTGCAGACCTGACTCCTCACAACAGCGCAGGCCAGAAAGGGGAAACTCTTCGTGCCATTGGCTGTGGCTTTGGGGGGCAGTGACAAAGGTTGCTCTCACCTCAGAAGGTGGCTCGTCCCAGCAGGCGAAGGCGGGGGGGCCGGGCTATCTGGCTCTCGGTAGGATGCTCCCTCAGGGCAGGTAGGGAGAGCGGGCCTAAGCTGCAGACCTGACTCCTCACAACAGCGCAGGCCAGAAAGGGGAAACTCTTCGTGCCCTGAGCTCCTGAGGCAGCTCCCTCCAGCTCTGGAGAGCCCCTGAGGAGCTGCAGAGCCGGCCCGGCCCAGGGAGCAGAGAAACTGCTTCTGAGAGCCCCAAGGGGACGCTGGGCCCACGGACCCGACTAGCGCTGCTGCTTTGGGAGAGCTGGGTGTTTCTCTGCTCTAACCACTAGACCCCACTCCCCTCCCAGGGCTGGGGATGGAACCTGGCAGTCCCGGCTGCCAAGCCCTCCTGCTCTAACCACTAGACCCACTCCCCTCCTGGAGCTGGGAATGGAACCGCGGGGCCCTGACTCTGAGTGGCTCCGGCACCTCTCACCCTTCAGTGTCCAGTTCGTGATGAGAAGCCGGCGCCTCCCTGTGTGGCAGGAGGAAGGACTCGGAGAGGCGCTGTGGGGAGCAGCTGCAGGCTCGCTGGCTCCACAGTGGTTGTATTTATGGGTTTTTCTGTTCCTTGTGACCAGGAAGAAAGGCAGAGCTTGGCGCCCAGCCAGTCTCTCTTTCCTTGCAATCACGTGGGAAACTGAAAACCAGGAATCCCCCCTTCCCCCGCCCGTCACATACTCCTCAGCTGTTGCCTTCCTGAGGCTTTCCATGGGCCAGCTGCCTCCTGCCAGAGGGTCTGGCTCACCCTTCCGCAGAGAGCAGGGGGGCAGCTGCTAGGGGGGTTCTCAGAGTCATCAGCACCCCAACAATCAGGAACCGCCTGTCTCCCCCCTCTGCCCCAGAGCCCTTTGAATTCCTTCAGAGAGCCGGCCATTGGTGCCACCTGTAGCCCCACCAGTGGGTAGTGTGGCCAAGGCGCAGCACCACGCCCCCTGCTTTGCCAACGCAAAGGAGAATGGGGAGGGTTGTGACCAGCCTCTGGCTCCCCACAATCGTCAGCCCAGGGGACAGGAGAGGAAGCAGGAGGGATCGATCCTTTTGCTTTGGTCCAAGGACTGTGTCATTTTTCCTCAGCATCAACCAGTGGTTGGATAGTTCCCAGAGGTTCCCCATCCAGGGGGCACCTGGTGCCCACGTCACCCACAGGACATGAGGTGCCAGCACTGACGTGGTGACTACACTTGTCCTGGGACCCCAACACTTGTCCTGGGACACTAGAGAACGTCACAACTGATGGAGCTCAACAATCAGCAGGGAGAGACGCTGCAAAGCTCCAGAGGGATCCAACGCGCCCGTTGGACGCTGGCCTGTCCAGTGAGGGCTGGGATGATACGCGACAGCCAATCAGTAGGTGCAGGCTAAGCTCGCAGAGAGCTCACACCGACCTCTGCGCTGCCGTAAACCCAATGAGGAGTCTGGGAACTGTTCTTCAGCCAACGCGGGAGAGTTTGGATGTGTATGAAATACGGGAACCGCCAGGACCGCTGCCCAGGAGTACCAGAGATGCCGAAAGCATCTCGATTTGGATGTACCCAGTTATCGCTGATGCAATTGTCGGGGACTCGAACCCGGACGGCCTCTGTTCGTTGTCTGACCGCAAAGAGACAGGCAACACCAGCAAGATCCAATCACAAGCTCTTTATTGAATAGTGCGCACTACAATAGAGAGCAGCCCATCTCCCAAGTGAACCAGCCCTGCTTTCAGTAACAAGATTATATAGACAGTTCCGTCGCGTCATAAAACATTTGCCCAAGCATCTCAGCCCTCCCTTAATTAGTTAGAAGCTTCTAGTGTTAATGGGTATACTTCATGGCCTTAAGCAATTCATAATGCGTCAACAGCTTTCTTATCAGCCCAGAAGGCAAGAACCAAACAACAAGGAGACAGGGAGTTAAAACAAACAGAGGGCAGAGACAGTTCCTTAAGATCAGGGTGTCAAGTATCAGAGGGGTAGCCGTGTTAGTCTGAATCTGCAAAAGCGACGAGGAGTCCTGTGGCACCTTATAGACTAACTGAAGTGTAGGAGCATAAGCTTTCGTGGGCAAAGACCCACTTCGTCAGATGCATCTGACGAAGTGGGTCTTTGCCCACGAAAGCTTATGCTCCTACACTTCAGTTAGTCTATAAGGTGCCACAGGACTCCTCAACCTTTCTGGTGTTAATGATTAAGAGTTTGAGCCACTCGACAGATGGAAAAGTACAGAAAAGATCAGGGTGAGTACAGAAACAGGGAGTTACCTTATCAGTTCTCAAACTAGCTGTTCCCATCACAACTGGTATAGGAATGCAGCCTTTCACTTACTTTACTTCTGCAACTCAAGCAAGTATGTAGGGAGCGTCCCTTGCTTGAACCATGTCTCTAGTTCTGCCCAGAAACTTTTGTTAACCTCTTTCCTTGATCTGTCTTGACATAACTGCACTAGGCCCAATTCTCTAGGGCCTAACACAATGTGACAGAATCTTTCCCAACTGTTGACTGTGCACTAAGGCTGCATTTGTCACTACTGGTAATGGAGACCGGTCCTTCTCTCTTCTAAGAAGGGTCAGAACGTCCGGCGATCCACCTTGGCTCAAGAGGTGTGTCGACACTGCACCATTATTTGCGAATGCCTGCACAGCCCAAATTATTTCAAAATAACGTACGGCTTCTTCTGAAATCTCTAAGCCTCATTCTATGAGGAATAACGCCTCGTCATGGGGTCCGTATGGGGGACCATGCCCCTCTCCGGGCTCTCAGCCCCTCCCCCACCTTCTGTAGTCAATCACACACCCACCAGGGATGAGTTCAATGCCGTTACTATACAGCCTATGCTCACAGTCTGCATTAACTGATGCACATTCACGCCTTTATTAGTGCCCCTCGCCTCCTTGCCTCAGGGTGGGGAGTTGGGGGACCCGGGCCCGCCTTCACCTCCGGGTCCCAGCCCAGGGCCCTGGGGAAAGGGAAATGTCGTTCTATCCTCTTCCTGTGGTCAGTGGGGACACTGCCCGAAACTCGCTGACCCATGGGCTAGAAGCCCTGCCCTGGGCTCCTTCCTACCCTTTTAAGCTCCCAGGCTAGCCCAAATGCACCTTCTGCCGGCCACTCTCCTGCGGTTACACCCCGTCCCCTGGAGCCCAGACCCTCCCCAGATTCGGTCTTTCCTCCTGACCGGAGGTTGGCTGGTTTTAAATCTGGTGCTCCCAGGTCAGCGCCTCCCCCCCGAGCATGGCCACGCCTTCTCCTCATCCCCCCGCCCCTCGCTATCAAAGGTGGGGCCTCTCGCAGGTCTTACAGCCGCTCCTGCAACTGCTCCGGTGTCCGGCCATGGCGCCATTTCCCCGGTGGCTTCCCCCTTCGGTGGCACATCCCCGGCCGCATCAGCAATGCTCATGGCCCCAGACCTCCTACTTACTTGATTCTGCAAGGAAGCTGCGTTCTGGCTTGATCAAGAAAACAAAATGGCCCCTGGCAAAAAGCCTAAAGACCAAGGGGAAGCAATGCCTTCCCTGGGTCTTAGTGCTCAACCGGTCCCATGCTCCTATCCCTGTTCTGACTCTGCACACGTTGGCTACGTCTACACTGGCATGATTTTCCGGAAATGCTTTTAACGGAAAAATTTTCCGTTAAAAGCATTTTCGGAAAAGCGCGTCTATATTGGCCATGGACGCTTTTCCACAAAAAAGCCCCAATCGCCATTTTCATGATCGGGGCTTTTTTGCGGAAAACAGTACTGTGCTGTTTACACTGGCCCTCTTGCACAAATGATTTGCGCAAGAAGGCTTTTGCCTGAATGGGAGCAGCACGGTATTTCCACAAGAACACTGACGATCTTACATGAGATCATCAGTGTTCTTGCGGAAATTCAAGCGGCCAGTGTAGACAGCTGGCAAGTTTTTCCGCAAAAGCAGATGATTTTGCGGAAAAACTTGCCAGTCTAGACACAGCCACTGTGAAAGGGCCATGCTGTTCTCATACTGGGTTTTTTTTGGTTGGGGGAGGAGGGGGTTGGTTTTTTGGGGTTTTTTTTGGCTTAATAACTCTTGGATTCCTTTGTTTGTTCTCAACAACTTTAGTTCCCCCCCCCCCTTTTTTTTTCTCCCCTCAACAGAATTTTTCCCTGGTGTTTTTTTTTCGGGGGGGGCGTGTCTATATTTTTGGTTAAACCATCAGGCAACCCTAGGTGTGCTGCACCCGAGTAGGGTTGTCAGGTGTCTGGTTTTGAATTGGAAAGTCCAGTATTTGAGCTTTCTGTTGGGGAAACAAATTGAGAAAATATAACTCTCTGGTATTTTCTAAATAAGATGCGATGTAATATCAAGTGTGACCAGTATTTTTGTTGAAACCATCTGGCAGCTCTGCCCTGAAAACTCAATAGTGAAAACAGTATGTTAATTAAAAAGAATTATTTTAAGAGGTGACATAGATTTTATTTTTTTCCCTATCTCCCTTGCTTTTTAATTGTGTGGTCTAGTCTACAATTAAGTACAGAATGACTGGCTATTCCTAGAGAGATTGCCACTGTCAGTAAGCATAACGTAACTTTTAAAATTGAAGTCTGTCTATATAAAGTCTGTCTGAGAGTCTGTTTATTTAAGAACTCTTTCTAAACAGTAAGAGCCAGGACCAACAAATTTCGTATGAAGCCTACTCATCTAATTTAAAGCAAGGTGAGGTTTTGTTATGCCATCCTCTATAAAGGTGCCAGACACCATGGTCCAGCCTGCACAGAGCAGTTTCAGCCTCCCAGCAGAGGGATCCTCCCCAAAGATCTCCCACCTCTCCTTCCTAAGCCTCCTGCTTGGAGCTGATCTCTGCCCAGCGAGCGGCTCTGCAGCTTCCCAGCGCTCAGCGAGCAGGTAACTCAGTGCATGCGACAAGGCTTTGGGGATAACAAAGTAAAAGACTAGTCGACTCTCCGATAAGCTTTTGCTCCACGGATCAGCTGGGCAGCGGCTGCTGCCTTTGAAACTGCCACCTTCGCGTCTTCCGAAGGGGCAGCTGTGGAGTCCGGGATCAGCTGGGCACTCCCAGTGTAGCATGGAGCCCAGGGTCAGCGGGATGCTGTGTGTCCCTCTCTGAGCCCGGACTCCAGCACAAGAGCCCTGCTGGGGATTCTTGTGCATTTCAAAGCAGTCGCCCGCATGCAACCCACAGTCGCCTAGACTTCCCCCTTCTCTCTGCAGACTGGTGGGCAGGAGGCAGGGACCTGGCTTCCCTCTGCAGACTCCGTGTCCCTGCATCAGTCCCTGCCCAGTAACTGGGATCGTCATTAAGCAAGTGCATTCCCGTGGGCCAGCTGACCCCAGGGCCTCGCTGAAGCCAGCCCTGCACACACGCAGAGCCGCGAGGGCTGCGCCGAGGGGCTGACACTGCGACCTGAGTGGGGGAGGTAGGACTGGGCTGGAACACGCCTACAGCACCACAACCCCCCCCCTCCCCCCGCACCCCGTCCCTTGGAGCACGGCCACACCCAGATTCTAAGTCAGGAATGGGCGATCATTTCCGACAGGGCCCACTTCAGAAACTGGTCAGAGAGTGGGGGGGTGGGTGAAGTCTTTGCCCCCCCTTCAGGGAGTTGCAGGCTGCTCTAAAATCCCCCCTCGCTCTTCTCTCCTGCAGCCTAAATAGAACCAAATCCCTCAGCCTCTGCTTGTAGGTCATGTGCTCCAGCCCCCAAGTCATTTTGGTTTCCTTCCACTGGACCCTTTCCAATGTGTCCTGGACCCTTTCCAATGCGTCCACATCCTTCCCTCTCCAATGAGTTCACATCTTTCTTTAGTGGGGAGGGCCCAGAGCTGGATGCAATACTCCAGATATGGCCTCACCAGAGCCGAATAAAGGGGAATAATGACATCTCTGGATCTACTGGCAATGCTCCTCCTAATGCACCCCAATATGCCATTAGACCTCTTGGCTACAAGGGCGCCCTGTTGACTCATATCCAGCTTCTCATCCACTGTAACCCCCAGGCCCTTTTCTGCAGAACTGCTACTTAGCCCAGCATTTCTCAAACTGCGGGGGGGTCGCGACCGACTTACAGGGGGGTCGCAGCCAGATCCACTGGGGTTTTTTTGTTTTTTCCATTTGTGTCTCCCCCGGCATCTCCAGGCAGTCCAGAGAACTGCTACTTAGCCCAGCATTTCTCAAACTGCGGGGGGGTCGCGACCGACTTACAGGGGGGTCGCAGCCAGATCCACTGGGGTTTTTTTGTTTTTTCCATTTGTGTCTCCCCCGGCATCTCCAGGCAGTCCGGCTCCGCCGGGCCATTTCCCCC